GGGCAGCGAGGGGCCGAGCCGAGCCGAGCCGCGCCAGACGCCAGCGGCGTTACCCCAGCGGCATCTTCCCCTGACTCGCCGCTGCCGTTACAAATGGCACAAGGCAGCTACGCTAACCACATCCTATAGCTCGTCTATATGGACAGTAGGGATGCACCCAGCCTTTCCCAAATACAGGCAAACATTTTTTTTTTTTTAGTAGCCCTTTTCCCTCTCTGACTAGCCGGTCAACGCTCCTATCCCTTACAAAGAGTTAACTACAGCTCCAAACGTTCTTGGTGTTCGTATCGGCACCCCACCGCTCTGCAATACTGCGATGGTCTCCACCTCAGCAGCTTCCCAAAGAAATGAATTCCAAACCACAGCTCGGGCACGTAACAAGAAGTATTTCCTTTTATACATTTTGAATTTTCAATTCAGTTGCTATCTTTTGGTTGGACATTATTTTATTGCACCTTATTACTTTATTGCGTCCTGTTTTACTGCAATCTCTCTCTGCAAGTTTTTCCTCAGCCCTTAAACATCTTCTCCGACCTTCCACTTCTGCATCTGTGGGACTTTCTGAATGAGGTGATCAGTAAGCACAGGTCATTCCAAATGAAGCTGTACCGCTAATGTAAATTAAGAAGAGAGTTCAACATACTTTCTTACATGGTGCTTCATCACATTCCTCCTGTATTGATGAGAGCTGATTTTACAAAGGTGACCTTCCACTTCTTAGAAATCATGCCAAAGTGCACATACTGAATTTAGAGAAGTTAAAAAAGAAGAAAAAAAAAAGTGTAACTTCAGGATTTCTCCTTCCAGCCTGGGTTGTCTGCATTTATCAGAACTGAATGTTGTTAGTCAATCCACTCAGCCTGCTCGGATCTCTTTAAACTTCTCACAATTCTGTTTTGGTCTCAGCCAACAAATAACTTTCTCCAACATGAGAGCAATTTCTCATCTCTCATTGTTTAACCCTTCTTTAAACTTAAAATATGTTATGGGTATCACTGAACGTAAAGGCACTTCATAGTAGATCTCTTACTGGGATAAAGGGAAAAAAACCAATCAGCCACCAAATTAATAATATATCCTGCAGAAGCAGGAAAGAAAACAAATCTCCAAGGTGAGTTTCCAGAGGCTATATCTAATGTACGGAGCAGATATGTTTCACTGTGTGCACTCAACGCCTACCCCTCATCACCCAGATACATAACCCATTGGACTGTGCTTTGATTCCCACTCCCGCCCCCTGCCAGATGGCTCTCCAGTAGAAACCAGACAGCTGTAGAGGAGAGAAGGAAAACAGCAGTGAGCTTTAGGTCTCGTCCTTAGTACAGGGAAATGGCTTGGGCACCCACTGGCACCCAGGAATCACACCGGCTCTCCCATAGCACCGACACAACCAACAAGGAACCCATTCAGACGCCAGCGGGGACGCAGAGAAAAACATCAGAGAGTTCAAAACGCTAAACTTCAAAGTATAATCATCTTTTAGAAAAAAAAAGGACAAACCATGATACGAGTCACAAATCATTATTTCCATATGCACGGACAAGGCAGGTTTTCTTTGAAAATGTTCATGACATTCTTCCTTGTTAAAACCCACCTAGAGCAATTCCGTACTTCTATGTAGGGACCTCATTTAAAGACACCAAAATGGCATTCTTAGATTATCATTTCTAGAACGTGCCATACACCTCGTGTTTCAACTTGGCTCCTACTTAGGTTTCTGATCACCCTTCTTTTCCTGGCTCCGAGCTTCTGGGAGGCATTTCCAGCCTCTGGTGAGCCTGCAGAAAGAACAATGAGAAGGTACCACGCATGACTGAAGGCATAAGATCGCACACAGATCACACATGCTGAAATGCTGATAGAAGAAGCTGTCATGAGCGGCCTTATTTGCTCACCATGGGGTTCATACAAATACAGCATGGCAAATGGTTGTCTGAAGTTAAACAGCCTCACAGTGACTTTTATAAGTATGCACAAACGCAAATTTTACAATTGCAGTCCTACTCTAAAGTGAACATAACTTTTCCACATGCAGTCAGTCGATGAGAAAAACGAAAATAAAATAATAAAAACTTAAAATATAATTATAATCCATGGTTTAACTGCTTCAATTCTGTATTTGAAAGCTTCTAGTAAAGATATATATCTTATAAAATCATCCACATTATCATTTGATAAAACAAAAGTAGCATATTTTATTACAAGTCAACTAGAGCAATTTCATTAAAACTCCTCCTGTCCCCTTAACTACAGGATCCTTAGCCATGTCTGTTTCTTCTCAGAATCCCTCCCTCTCCTTAAATGCCTGCCTTCTGTAGTTTCACTTGCCATACACCAAGCTCTTTGGCATGATGTTTTTTGGCCTTATGTGTAACCCAACGTCTCTTATCAGACAAGGAGACTGCTATCAAAGGTGCAGTATTCAGAACTGAAAGTGGCCTGGAGTGATGTTCCAGTTTCTCTGGCAAGATACGACATTTCCTCCAGGTGTGTGAATTGCATTTAGTTATTAACATCTAATCAACGTTAGCAGTATTAACAGAAATAAAATCAACAAAATTTGCTTGCTGGCTGATAAAGATACTGCATTTATCAGAACATGTTATCAAAGAACAATTTAGGAAGGAAATTTATAGGAATTTTAGGAAGGAATATTACTTGAGCAATCAAGCCTGCTGTTAAACTTTACCCTGGGGAAAATGATCTATTCTGAAACAGCAGTTGGTACATACACCTGTAAAACTGGTTCCTCCATGCCTTTCCAGCCTTCATCCGAATGCCTTTCGGATTCATTTGCTTTAGAACGCCTTGACCTTTGGAATTTCAACTATTCTAGTATCATACCAGTTCCCCAAATACCAAAGTATTTATAGTGGAACCATTCGCCTTGCCTTTACCATGAACAACTCAACCTGGTGCTGCGGAAGGGATTGTGGCTTGCTTTGCCCGCAGGTGACTCTGCGGGAGGACACGCTCCAGAAGGCAACAGGGCAGCCAGGACAGACGTCGTGCCTGCACGCCGAATTGCTCCCCATCTCTTGCGCGCGCATCCTCCTCCCGCTCCTCCGTGCGGGTCCCTTTGCACCAACGCCCGTTTAAGGGACGCTCCAGCGTGCCAGCCTGCGGACCTTGGCACCTCTAGGCGCCACGCAGGCACACGGTGAAGAGACCTGCCTGCCGGCCTTTCCTACGGGTGACAACGGGCCTCGCCAGCGGCGGCAGCCGCGGGCCCCGGGGGGGGGGGGGGCCCGGGGGGGGGCGGGGGGCAGGGGGGGGAAAGCCGCTCCCGGGTGGGAAGGCTGCGGGGGGAAATCCCTTCACGGTACAGTTGCCCCCCGGCAGCGTTTCAACAGGTATTTTCAAATCAGAGGCCAGCTCTCGGTTGCCTCACCCGGAAAGCATTCCTTAACAGAAGGGGAAAAAAACAAACAAAAACCAAAACCCCACAAAACCAAAACCAAAGCAGCGGCCCCGCCCACCGCCACTTTC